ATAGGCTCTCTAGGCTTTGGCCACGTGTGGACAGTCTGGCCAAGACTTATTGTGTAATCAGCTATCTCTTTGCAAAGTACCAACTGGAAGCTCTAGTGAGAACCTAGCAGTTGCTCCTCCAGGTGCCAGGTGCCACTTTTTTTTTTTTTTTTTTTTTTTTTTTTTTGAGACAGAGTCTCACTCTGTTGCCCTGGCTAAAGTGAGTGCCGTGGCATCAGCCTAGCTCACAGCAACCTCAAACTCCTGGGCTCAAGCGATCCTACTGCCTCAGCCTCCCAAGTAGCTGGGACTACAGGCATGCGCCACCATGCCCGGCTAATTTTTTCTATATATTTTTAGTTGGCCGATTAATTTCTTTCTAATTTTAGTAGAGGTGGGGTCTCGCTCTTGCTCAGGCTGGTCTTGAACTCCTGAGCTCAAACAATCCGCCCGCCTCAGCCTCCCAGAGAGCTAGGATTCAGGTGCCACTTCTTAAAGAGTAACTCTTAGGAAGTTTTAACAGTTTTGTTCTTTATGAAAAATAACACACAAACACATACACACACACCCTAAAAAAGAGAAAAGCAACAACTGCTAGTACTGGTGCTGAACAAGAACAGCAAGTGGAGTAGTCTAATGCCTTCCTCTTTCTTGAGGGATACATGCTATGAGTGTAGTCATGAATTGGAAGGTAAATAATAGCTGACATCCATGGAACTCTCACTACAGGCAAGGCTGGTACTGGTGCTCACATACGTTTTCTCTCAACAAACCTATTTTTATCCTCCCTTTCAGATGAGGAAATCTACCCAAGGTCACACAAGCAGTAATACAGAGAGACGATCTGAGGCCACATTATCAAACTCATTTCAGAGCCTGAACTCTTAATCATTATCTTTATTGCCTCTCCTGGAGGGGTCTAGACCACACCCTTAGCAGAAATCGAGGAGGGTCTGCACTCACAGACTGGACAGTATCTCTGCATAGAGAGACAGTCGTCCTCTTAATCTAATACTTTGAGTTTGAATTGAGACTTTACTCAACGAAAAATAGCTGAATAGCCTGCCTTTTGTTTCTTCCCTTTCCATTATATTTTCCACTTTGACACATTTCTTAAATACAGATTGATCTTCTGTCTCCCAGGTTCATGAATGTTCAGATGGTTTCTCTTTGCTTACAAGAATATGACAGACCACCCAGCCTAGCCTCACGGTCTAGCCCGGGCTCTGTCACCACTTAATCTCCACCACATCCTTCACATAGGACCCCTAAGCGATCTCTTGCAATCCCAGGACTTGTCTGCTTCCCTTCCCTGATTGGATTCTCCCATCTTGAAATCCCCGTCATCCACAGAAGCCAGGTCAACTTAAGGAACAAATCATGTATAGAGTGACAACAGATATTACTATTACAGGTGGAGCATCCCTAATCCAAAAATCTGAAATCCAAAATGCCCCCAACTCCAAAACTTTTTGAGTACCAACATGACATCACAGGTGTACAATTCCACACTTGACCTCATGTGACAAGTCACAGTCAAAACACAGGCATATAACACACAGTTTATTCAGTGTGCCCAAGGGAAAAATAAAATCACCTTCAAGCTATATGTATAAGGTGTATAAGAAACGTAAATGAATTTCATGTTTAGACTTGGGTCCCATCCCCAAGATATCTCATTATGGATATGCAAATATTCTAAAATCCAAAAAAAAAAAAAAAAATCCTAAATCGAAAACACTTCTGGTCACAAGCATTTCGGATTAGGGATACTCAAACTGTATTTTAAAAATAATTCCAAATGTTAAGTTCCATAATATTCAAGTAAGGTGGAAGAAAGATTAATTGAAAAAGTCTCAGCCTTTAATAAACATGTGATCGGTAAGGTTTTCAATAGTAGATTCAAATTCAGTTTCAAATTAGGAGAGAATATTTAATATCACCTCTAGTGGCTTGTGTTTTTCTCAGGAACTCTAAATCTACCAGAAGCCCTTTGCAGCAGTTTTCTCAAAGTGTAACAAATTCTACTTTGTATATCATCTCGTGTTTAATTATAAGGATTTGAATTTGCAGCACCAGTTAATCAGTAATTAGATAGTACTGTACCAAAAGAAATTAAACAAAGATGAAAACAAAAACACAACTCAGCACAAGGCCATATCATCTGGTAACATTTCATGTAGCATGATTAAAATACTCCCTGAGAAATATAGGTTAACTGAGTCATTAGCCATGTATTCCTTTGACTTTGTTGTTGTTGTTAATGACTTTAATGGCAATGGGAAACTTAAAGGAAATCCAAGTACAAAAACATTCTGATTATACTAATGTTTATTCCTCTTTTCATTCTTTACTGGAAATCTCTTTATGATGCTCAATAATTATTTTGAAATGTAGCGGTAGATTTTGGCAATGCAAAATAAATGCATACTTTATAATGATTCATTCTCCATTGATTGTCATATGAAAAAGCCAGATAAACCAGTATTTGAGTTAATCATCAATTAGACCTCAAAAACAAAATGTTCACCTTTGGTGTGAAAAATCAAAAAAGATGCAGAGCAGATCGAGGGAGGAACAGAAAGGTCCCTGAAGCCAAGATGTAGTGGAGGAAAAAGGCATAACTGTATAGCCGGTCATTTTAGGAATCAGAGGAAGGGCAAGAGGACCTTCTTGATACAAAGTCATGCCATTTCCCTGTACCAGGTGCATGGGCCACTTTTCCTGGTTCTTAAACCTTGGTTAGTAAGATAAAAAAAGAAGACTGACAGTTGGAAAGAGAAGTGAGCAGCTCCTATAATTCAGTCTTGGAAGAGATGAGGGCAGTGGCCTGCTCAGGTGTGCCCCGCTTTGGGTGATCCTGGCAGCTGGGCTCTGGGGAGGGCGGACAGTCGGCAGAGCTCCAGGGTCTGTTAGCAGGATACAGAGCAAGCCTTTCTCCTTCAAGGCCCCCATCTTATCCCTTCCCCTGTGACTATCACCACATCAGGAGTTTGAACCAGCAAAACACTCAAAATTACCGGAAGGTGCTTTACACTCTTTCCCTGGTGCTGTTTCAAGAGGCTTTGTTTCTGTAAGAAACTGGCATCACCTTTACTCCCAAGTGCAGGGTTCTTGTAAATGTGAATATTGTAAAATCTTTAAATGAGCTGCCAAATGAATGAGCATGGTTTTTTTCCTCTACGTGTATGAAAGTGTCTTGAAAACTTCTGTAGAGTGAATTTTGTTGTACGCTCTCAAGCTTGCTTTATAGACGTATTTTAATTGTCAACCTCTGAAACAAGTAATTTGTCTTTTGATGGAAAAATTTGCTGAGAAAGAGCATAATGTGCTTTGAGAAGAATTACAGAAGAATATTTCATAGATTTCCGTCTTTTGGTATCCCGGACTGAAAGAGTAAGCTTTGCTTCATAATTTAGTATCATGGTGGCCATCAGAGGACCAAACTGTAATAATTTTTGTAACTTCATGATAAAATTAATTGAGCAGCCCCCCAAATTGGGAACCATTTGATTTTTCTCCAATTTAAGAATTTCTTTTCCCACTGTGTTGTGAAGCCGCGCTGTAAAGTTTCCATCTCTAAGAGTTCATTGCTTTTACAAATTATACTGCACACCTGTGAATGAAAGCTGCATTGTCAAAGTGACAATTCATTTGTGGATATGGCTTATTAATCCTCTGTTGTGCTTCTTCACCTGTTCTCTAATTTGAAAATGTTCATCTCTCAGGAGGTGGTACAATTTATTTGATGTCAATGTACCACATAAATTTTTCCTCTCAATTTTAACGGTATTGAAATAAGCTGAAAATAAGCTGACTCCAGTCACCGTGATCATTATCTTATGAAATTTTATTCAAGGCCAACTGGCCAAAATTAATGAACCAGAACAACCTTTTCATCTCAGTGAATGATTACCCATGTCTCTTCACTGTAACAACATGGTACCTATTCTTCCTGTAGTGGGGTGTGGTTAAAAAAAAAAACTAGAGTTTAAATGCCCCTAATTGCATGTCTCCTCCAGTCTCACCCATCTCAGTGAATGGCTCTGTTAGTGCTCCAGCCAACACCTGGAACCACCCAGGATCACTCCTTTTTGCTCTCCTCCCACACCCAATGCATTAGCCAGTCCTGCTGGATCGCCTGCCACTGATCCCACCCCAGCCCAAGCCGCCGATTCCCCTCCTGGACTCCTAGCAATCATCTCCTAACTGGCCTCCCAGCTTTTATTCTGCTTCCCTAAAATCCATTCTCCATATAGCAGCTCGGTTAATGATATTACAAATATTAATCATATTACTTCACTAGGCCTGCTTAAAGCCGTCCAGTGACTTCCCATTGCACTTAGAATAAAATAAAAATACGTTTTATGGCCCAGGACCCCATATGAACAGCCCTACACGGCTCTCCCCTTCTTACACTCTTGGGTCGTCCTTCAAACACCCACGTGCTCCCCTGCCCTCGCCTTTCCACAAGCTGCTGCCTCTGCTTGGAGTGCACTTCCCTGCCCCGCAGGACTGACTCTCACATCCTACCTCGGAGAAACACTTCCTGACCACCCAAAGTGCAGCACCTCCGCAGTTGATGCCCTGTCAACCTGTTTGACCTTCACAGCACTTGTCACCATCAAAAATGATTTTGTTCCATTTGGCTTATTTGTTCACTGATCATTGTGTTTCTTCCCACCAGCCGCTAAGCTCCCACGAAGGCAGGAATCTTGTCTGCTGTTCACCACGTATCACTTGTACCCGGAACAGGGTCTGGCCTATTAGCACACTCTCAATAAGTACTTGTTAGATGAATGGTGGATGAAGGAATCCTTGTCTTCCTAATACTGTATGACTTTGCATCACTTAACCTCTTGGACTTCAGCTTCCTCATGTATAAAATAAAGCTAACAGAGCATTGGATGTTCATGGGATAAATGAAAGGAGCAAACGTGTATGGTAGCGTGTGGGACTTTGCTTGGCCCACAGCACGGGCATATTGAACACAGTCACCAATTTCTCTCCCTGTTTTACAGGAAATCTTCAGAGGAACTGGACATGGACAAGGTGACAGCAGCAATGGTACTGACCAGCTTGTCAACCAGCCCTTTGGTTCGAAGCCCTCCTGTGCGGCCGAATGGTAAGCCTGGGATGTGGGGTTTGGGGAAGGGCTCCTTGATACCAAGAGCAGGGCCTCTCTTTGAGAAGTTGCATTCCTGTCAAACACAACGAATAATTAACCCCCACCCATTAGCAGGAAGCAAGGGGAAATGTGGAAGAAATGGAGACCCCAGAGCTGTCAGCCTCCTCCTCATCTTCCCAGAGAGCCCACTACATCTCATTCATACATCCATCCATTCAGCTCATGTTTTTTGAGTTCCATTACTTGTTTTCTTCCTTTCTAGAACACATATTTGCAATACCTGTATTCCTTTTTCCCAGGTAAATGGAGATAGATATAATGAAATTCTTTTCCTTAGCATTATTTCTGTTTGGGAAGGTAGTTGGATCAAAGAACTCTCAGAAGATTTAATATTTTTTAAAAGCATTATTCTAGACTCCTTAATCAAATAGAATTATTTAGTCTATTCATTCAATATATATTTACTAGGTACCAGCTAGGTGATTTGAATACATTATTGAAAAACAGTGTCCACACTCCCAGGTAGTGTACAATCTCTTTAGGAAAAAAAGACTATCAGTCTTAGCCATGGCAGTGGCTAGCATTTATTGAACCCTTACTATGTGCCAAGTACTATGCATGCTTTATCTCCTGTAATTCCCACAACTCCGTGAGATGTTCTTATCCCTGTTTTACAGATGAGTAAACTGAGGCTCATAGAGATTAATTGGCTCATAAATGGCAGAACTGAAATTCTACTCCATCTTTCTGATTCCAGATCTGTTCTCTTGATGCTGATATAACATGGCCTCATATAATCCAGTATGATAAGTCAGGAGGGCGGGCAGTAGGAGATTAAGTTAGAGAGACTGGCAGAAGATCAGGAGGGGTTATGTTTGCCTGGCTAGGAGTTTGGACTTTATTCTGAGGCTGTGGGAGAACTATTACAGTAACACCAGCACTGGAAAGTTACAATTAGGTCTACCAACAAGAACAACAGCAGCAGCAGACAAAGCATTAATGGTCACAATGGGGGTGAATGGGACATAGTTGAGAAATGTGAAGAAGGTAGAATCAACAGGACTTGGTGATGGACAGAGAGGATGAAGGAGAAGGTGTGTCAAGGGTGACTTCCAGTGCTTCAGCAAGGGGACACCATTTCCTGAGACAGGAAACTAAGGCATGGGGCAAATGTTTGGGACAAGATGTGGGGTTGCTGAAGAACACAGACCAGTTGGAAACACGTTAAATAGGCAGTTCCTGAGGATCATTCAAGGGGCAGCCTCTGGTGGAGACTTGAATGCAGCCTGGAAGAGAGATCTGGGTTGACAGTACAGAATGGGAAGGCAACATTTGAAGCCATGAGAGTAAATGAGATCACCCTGAGAGAGTTTGTAGAAGCCCAGGGTGAAGACAGGATGGCCAAGAGGAAGCAGTGAATCTCACCATCACGTAAGAGATTGGCAGAGGAAAAAGACCCCAGGAATATCCTGAGGGGTGACCAGAGAGGTAGAAGAAAACTAACAGAGTGTTGTTTCATGGAAGCCAAAGGCAAAGCATGTTTGAAGGAGAGTCATCTGATGCTTCAGAAGGTCATGCATGAAAAGGACTGAATTTTGCATCAGAAAAGAAGGTCACTGGTGGCCTTGGCAAGGGCATTCACAAAGGACTCCCCATGGAAGGAAGCCAGATTGCAGTTCACTGAAATGTAATGCGCTGAGACCACTGAATGAGACTTCCCAGCAATGGAAACCTTCTCTCAAAAACCGGCATGGTCAATTATGAGATAGAGCCACAGTTCACACACAATTTGGTTGTAAGCATGAGATGTTAAGATACATTTGTTGAATATCCAGTGAGTCCTCACCAAAACTTACTCCTACCTCATTATAAGTGGTAAGAATGACCAAGATGCTGGGAATTCGAATGGTTGTCATGAATCAGTAGTACTCAGCAACATGATTCACCAAGAAACTGGGGTGACGCCACCTCTTCACATAGCGCCAGACGAGGAGATCTTGGTGAGCCTGACCACTCCTATTCGATGACCTACCCTCAGGGCTTCTTGGCAAACATGTTCTGAAGTACCTTCCTCAGCTTGGCAATGCTGCTAAAGTAGGCTTACGTAAAACCAAAACTGAGGGCACCCCCAAAACATATTCTAGGAAAAAGGAATTGCAGAAATTCCATGGGATCCTTAAAGGAACAACAACAACAAAAAAGTATATTTTAAATTAATCATTGTTTTTAGCATTGGATTCTTTTTTAAATTGAGAACATTTTTAGTGCTCCTTTGTATTTAAAGGTCAGAATTAAAATAAACATTTTGGTTCTTCTGTGCAAACTTTTGTTAGCACGCTAATAAAGCAATTCTGTATTCATTTATGGTTTAAAACATAACTACTGAATAACCCTAAATTGTCTGCTCTCATTTAGTCTGTAACAGGAAGCAAATTCTTAGATAGGGAAAACAATTTATAATAATGAAGGCATTTTTTTTTTAAGGAATAAAAGATTTTCTTTAGAATTATTGTATATCAATGAATTTGGGAGAACTGTTGTTATCCTTTTCTGTGCCTGAGAAGGATCATTCTGTCAGGATGTGGATCTGCAAAGAGAGTGAGAGTCTAGCAGTACCTGTCTGCATTCTTGGCAAATACTTAATACAAGGAGATTCTATCCCCTAAGAATATTATGAATTGGTCTTGACTTTTTTCTGAAAAATTTATTTCTATAACACCTAGTCTTTCTGATTAAATAGTGTTTCTAAAGGAAATGTCATTCACAAGGCAGTAAGCAAATTAACTTTTGGCATTGACACGAAGCCATGTGACCACAATGTAATAATAGTTGGTTTTCAAAATAAATTCAGTTTCTCACACTTACCGTGATTATATATCTAACACCATGAACTTTATTTTATTTTATAAGTGCATGCTGCAGAATGTTTATAAATCACCTGGGCCTGCCAAGTGAGTTTTTGACACAGGTAATATCACCTAAGGCCTTTACATTAGGCTCCTCTTGAAGTCCTGTTGTATTAGATAGAGTTTTCTTGTTTGTAATAGGCAGCTCTGGCCGGCGAGTGCATCAGTCTCTCTAGACTGCAGGGAGCAAGATGGTAATTTGGTTTTGTTGATGCTGGCAAGGCATGAGCCTGCATAAATGGCCATTTGATTCTAAAAGAACCTTGCTGTAATGAGATGGGTAGCTTAGTTCTATTTCAACTTAAAACTTCACTCCTCTCACTTAACTTTTTGCTTGACATAGTTGAGGAATACGGTGGAAATCTATAATTAGGTGAAGATAGTTAAGAAATTTCTCCCTGAATGCTAGTCTACCGTTTGTCTTCATTACTAATTATACGGACGTTAACAGTATTTTTTTAATGAGGTATTTTGGGATTCTTTTCCCTCCTTGTAGTTAGACTATAGTTTTAATATATTCAAAATGCACATAAATATGGAGGAGAAATTATCCAAGAAGAAAGGAGAATTTACACAAATGCTAATTAAGATTGTGTATCTTGAAAGGTAAAGCAAATCTTCAGTGATTAAAAGAATACCCAGAAGACATTCTAACTGGGCAAAAATCTCTCTACATGAGCAAACATTTCATAATGTTTTTCATCACAAGTGGAAAGGTAAAATCTAACACCAGTCTTGTCGGTAATTATTGCTAATAAATTCTTATCCTATCCCAGCTTTGCCAGGGAAAAGGGAGGATGTTCACAACCCAGGGCCTGCATGCACTGAGGGAAGAGGGCCAGCTCAGGCCTCGGGTCCACCAGGTATACTTACTAGTCACCTGGCAAGTCACTTCCTGCTGCCTCAGCGTCCTCATCTGTAAAATGGGCATGATACTCCTTACTCTGAGAGAGAGATGTTGTGAGCATACTTGAGATCATGCAAATGAGCTTTGTAAGATATAAAACACTCACAAAATGTAAGGCACTATTATTTGTTATAATAAGCAGAATGGGAAAGGGCTTTAGATAACTATCCAGAAATTATTTCTCTTAGATTCTTATAGCTTAGACTAAATTCCTATAAATATATTCTAAGAATTACAGTCCTATAAGAAATGCCTTTAAAAAAAAGTTTGAAATTAGAGGAGTAGGAGCTGAGAGGAAACTCCGTGACCAATTTGGGAGAATACTGCAAACGGTATTCCTCTCTTAGAAATACTGTAGTCACCAAACCCGGAGCTCCTCAAACTTAGCGAACAAGAAAAATCTATTTTTTCCCTTTGTTTCGTATGATCCCCACTCTCATTCCAAGGAACTAGTGTTGCACAATATAACACACATGAGAAAACTCTTAGAAAAACCTATTATCATGTGGTTAAAATAACTAAATGTTTATAAACTGTGATGTGACTTTTGGGAGGGGGGTGTATAAATAGAATAAATACTTACAGACCCAGCTGTTGCAAATTATTGAGCGGGCTGCGGGTGGTTGGACTGGAATAGAATCAAGGTTCCCGTTCCCCTTGTGTCTGTGCACGCAGAGGGCCTCAGCGGATCCTGGAAGGAGGCGAGCTGCGTGCCTTCCAGCACGAGCAGCAGCGGCTACTGGAGCTGGAGCGCCCCCAGCGACCAGTCCAACCCGTCCACGCCGTCGCCGCCGCTGTCGGCCGACAGCTTCAAGCCCTTCCGCAGCCCCGCGCAGCCGGACGACGGCATCGACGAGTCGGAGGCCAGCAACCTGCTCTTTGACGAGCCCATTCCCAGGAAACGAAAGGTTGGTGTGTCGGGCGCCCGGTTTTCTGTTTTGAGTTGCGTGCAGGTGCTTTCTGTCCCCTTTGAAGGGCCTGTGTGAGCTCAGGAAGGGCTCCTGCGACCCACGCCCCCTTTCCATCAAGAGAAGCAGCCTACGCTCCCCCTGAATGCTCTTTGAAATTTCAAAGTAAATTGTCATGATTAAAGACAATTAAACATGGCTAAAGTATTGATATGTTTCCTCAGAGTGCATACATGCCCCATCCTCTGGTTAAATATTGCTAACCCAAGACTCAACCAGTGTTTGGAAGTTAGAAAATTGGACTTTAGGCTTGGTTTGGTATTAACTCAGTCTCTTTGTGGGACTTATTTTTTTCATATGTGAAATGTAATTAATATCTTTTTCTCTTTTCTGCTTTAAGCAGCCCTGAAGGGTTATTGGGAAGAATATTTTGTATCTCATTTTTATACAGCCATATGTAAAATATACATGAAAGTTGACATATGTGTCCATACTTACATAAAGAAAATTACATATTTACTAAATAAAAAGGACAGCTAATTAATTGAGTTAATAAATTAATTGATTGCACTTTTATTTAATCCTCCCAGCAGTCCTGTGCAGTAAGTATTGTATTTCCATCTTGATATGAGCAAATTGAGAACCAGGGAGAGTGTACATTTAACTGGCCCCTATCAGGCAGGTTAAAAAAGGCTAGAGCCACCATTCAGACCAGATCTGCCTGAACTAAAGCTCATATTCTTTTCATTCTCCTCAGGTGTATTTAAATTACTATGTTCACTGACAATTTTTCAAAAACTTTTTTTTTTTTTTT